GGCTGTTGCCGAGGGCCCAGCGGCCGCCATGGGGCGGCGCGGGCCGAGCGGCCACCAGGCTGAGCTGCGCTTTCCCGCCTCAGAGCTCATGTTAGGCTGCAAAAGAGGGAAACTGAAGCCTCTAGTTGTGGGGGAGTATGAGTTTTACCCCAAAATATGGGATTTGTGACTGCCTTCCTACTATGTCACAACACAGGGTCAATTTTAGAACGTGCTTATATCCTTAAAGACAAAGCTGAGAAGACAGACAGACAGCCCAGGAAAAGTAGATTTTTTTTCCCTTAAATAATGTGAAGGATGCCAAATACAAGTGTTGACAACATAAACTTGCTTTACCTACCAATGTCCCTGGACACTCAAGTTTCAGTAGTCAGTCACTGGTGGTGAGAAAGTTACTTTGCAAGCACATTTACAGTTGACTAGCATCACAGATTAGATTTATTTTGATGGAGTTTTTATCTGATATACAACATGGCCAGATTTTAGAAATTAAATTATGCAGTCATGCAAAGGGAAGAGTATATAGGACTGTGTTTTGGTGGAGGCTATGGGTTTGACATACATGGAATTAGCAGAAAAGAAATCTGTCCCATTCTCCCAATCTGGGATGGGGAAAATATTTAAGACTAGGCCTTGTATGCATACAGATGTTGTTCCACTTCAACTTAAGCTAAGTCAGACTTAGTCCAAATAGAGTACAAGCATTTGTACTAGTTGAACTGAATCATTTTTAAAAATCAGATTTCTTAAATGTATGAGAGTTTCATGTGTAGATTAAGTTTAAATTTAACCAGGACAGCCCTTCAAAATAGCTAGATGTGCAAATATTCCAGGACATCTCTTTACGTCTGTGATTTGGGCAACTTGCTACAGAGCTGGGATCGCACCAGTCATTTCACATATATGTCACCAAACAGGCTTCAGATTGCAAGGGCATCATGTCACAGCCAACCCTGCCAACACAGGACACATTAGTGAATACAGTTGTTTCTTATAGCTGGGAGAATACTTCAATAGATTTTCTGTGAAAGCCAACTAATCTAAAAAGATGTTTTGTCTGTATTTTGGTAATTTTACTGGAAATACAATAGTAAATAAACGTACTGACAAGTACAATTAGAAAAACTACAATATTAATGACTATTCTGAATGTAATGTCATTCACTGATCCAGCAGAGAACTGAAGGCGTGCCCATGTCACTGGGAACCAAAACCAACCCCATGTAATCCATGTCTCATCAAAACTAACCAGTATAAGTAGGTAACATTCAGAGCGAATTACTCATTAGAAATATAGACACAAATTACAGGAAGTGGGAAAAACCTGGTATGGTGTTGCTTCCCTAGTGGTAGTTGAATGGATTACCTTAAAAAGGAGAACAGAAATGCCAAACTGCCCTGCTTACAGTTGAGGGGGCTGGGAAAATGAACACATATCTGGTTTCTTGTAGAAGGAGAACTTCTACTTCCCTTATCTAATTTCTTCTTACTGAATTAAATGGCATGTGTATTTTGTGAATATTGCTTGCACTTGCTCAGCTTATTCCTCTTATTGCTTCCTTCTATTTCTACATGCTATCACAGAATCACAGAATCGTTTAGGTTGGATGGGACCTCTGGAGATCATCTAGTCCAACCTCCCTGCTCAAGCAGGGTCACCTAGAGCATATTGCCCAGGATCACATCCAGACGGGTTTTGAATATCTCCAGCGAAGGAGACTCCAC